GCAAGGGCTCACCAGAGGTAGCCTGACTGCCATTAGGTAGATGAGATCTTCAGACCCCTTGTGAGACCATATGCTGGTGCTGTTGGCCCTGGGTTCCTTCTAATGCAGGACAGTGCTAGACCTCATGTGGCTGGAGTGTGTCAGCAGTTCCTGCAAGATGAAGACATTGAAGCTATGGACTGGCCCGGCTGTTCCCTAGACCTGAATCCGATTGAGCACATCTGGGACATCATGTCTCGCTCCATCCACCAACGTCACGTTGCACCACAGACTGTCCAGGAATTGGAGGATGCTTTAGTTCAGGACTGGGAGAAGATCCCTCAAGAGACCATCCGCCGTCTCATCAGGAGCATGCCCAGGCATTGTAGGGAGGTCATACAGGCACTTGGAGGCCGCACACAATACTGAGCCTCATTTTAATTTTGTGTGTGACTCCAAATCCAGGCCTCCATTGGTTAATAAATTTGATTTCCATTGATGATTTGTGTGTGATTTTGTTGTCAGCACATTCAACTTTGTACAGAACAAAGTATTAAATGAGAGTATTTCATTCATTCAGATCTAGGATGTGTTATTTGAGTGTTCCCTTTATTTTTTTGAGCAGTGTATATTGGGACCCAGCCGTGGGTTACAACATTAAAGGCCAGTAAGAATTTTTCTGGAATTTTCAAAATAAAACACAGTAACCTACTCCTCAGCCCAGGAACAGAAGGAGAGCGGACTTCCCGTGACATCTCTGTTTGAATAAAAACTCCGCGTTCCAACAAACAGATCTCTGATTCCAGAGGGGAACCAGACAGGAGAGGCACCAAGCGCGCGTGTGTCTCCTTGGAGACATGACTGTTCATCTTGGATCCAGAGTGACTACGATCATATTCACCAAAGTTAAGTAATGATTTGCTGTTCGATTATACGGCATTCATTCATATAAAGGGTGTAATGAGACAAGCTTGACTTGACTTTTCTACTGAGGCCTCCAGAAGCAGCCCTAATCGAAGCAAATTTACAGTGTACAGTGTTTTGCTGTTCAACAATGCCAGAGCTTGGCTCATCCCTTTCAATTTTGTCCTAATACCACCGCCTTATTGGGCTATTATTCACAGGATGACCCTTAACAGACCAAAATATTATTTAATGAAATATTAAAGTATTAGTATTAAATATTAAATAATATATTCATGTTCATAATCATAACAAATATTAACCTTCAGCCATCTCTCAATGAATGTCTGGGAAGTTCTTTCAAGACTCTTTGGAAAACCATTTCAGGTGACCACCTCATGAAGCTCATGCAGAGATCAAAGCAGTCATCAAACCAAAGAGTGGCTATTTTGTAATAATCTAAAATATAAAAATGTTTAGTTATTTCACACTTTTTGTTTACCACATAATTCCATGTGTGTTCATTCACAGGTTTGTTGTCTCTGGTGAGAATCTACAATTTAAATGAAAATAAAGAGACCCATTAAGTGAGAAAGGCGTTCTAAAACCTTTGACCGGTAGTGTATATTTAGAGACTTCATTATTAATTTAGTTGATGATTTTTACCAACATATGCCAACGTGAACAAGCAACATAATTGTGTTACCCAGAGGAGTAGTGGTATTTACAGCATTCTCCTAAACTCAGTCCCTTTTGACAAAAAATCTAATAGGAATAGGCTGATAAAGATTATTGTCCTTTGGCGTTTATACAATAAGACTGAATGAAGCGACTGAAAACAAATTTACTCGATAACATTGCGGGTTAGGAGCACAGCACTGCTTTGTGCTGCTGATGCAGCTCTGTGTCAACTCCCCCCTTAGCCCCTTCCTACTTCCTACGCATTCAGAGGACAACGGGACAGATTTTTTTATGCCTTCAGGTGTGCTCGCAGCGTGTTTCTCTGTGTAACATGGATATGTGGTGCAAACTGCCATCAACGCTGGAAGCAGAGGGGTGCTACTTCAACACTGGGAGATGTGACAGACATTAATCAGTTTGTGAATATTGAGATTTTTTCTCTAATGTTCCCAAAACAATTGGAAGCACAACAGTTTGGCATATTTTTAAGCAAGCACACAAAAAATGGGAATGGTAATGAAAAAGTCACAACCCCTCCATCCATCTCCCTGACCTAGAAAGGTTTTGTGTTAAATAATTTTTTTCCCGGGTATGGTAAGGATGAGCATTTTCACCTTTTAGCTCAAAATGCAATGAAAAAGATGATTTTTAACCTATTTCTCCTTGTCCAAACCTTGTCGCTGTGTCCTCTGTTTTGTTGATTGCAACAATTTATATATTTTTATGTGTGGCATGTTTTGTTGTTGGTACTGAATTGTCACTAAGGTAATTTTAGTATATGTACTATAGTATTCATATGTGTATGTATTTGCTTGTGGTGCAGTAAAAAAGACTTAAAACTAATTATTATTTTTTGAGACAGTGGAAAAAATAAAGGCTCGGGCATAAAGAGGAAACTAACAGCTTGTTGAAACATTCCAGTTTTTTTGTATCATTTGTATCATCAGAAGACTTTCACTCATTAACACAACTGCTCGACTCTGCTTGAATTAATACGTTTTTTTTCATCAGTACAGATTTTACAAATGCATAAACAACAAATTTTTTCGCAGTTGGCATTTTACTCCACTAATTTTTTCCTTTAAATATCAGGTATAATGTACTTGTGTTTGGCGGCTTTTACCATAACATCCATGTTTACTGATCTTTGTTTAGCTACACAAGGATGTAACTGCAGTATATTCTAGCTGTCTGCTGCTGAATTAATGACATTCAGACTGAGTGCAGGCACTTGGAGACAAGTCCAGTTCCTGCTGGGATCTTATCAGTGAGTGTGGCGGGGGGTAATCAGAAGATGTAATATATCAGACAGCTGACTGACCAGTCAAAATGGAAAGGGCCTCTCTGACTTGGTCACAAAGTCATAACACTCTCAGGAGCCAATGTCTTCTTGAAATGGAGAATGAGACCAATGTGAAAAGAAATTTCAACTGCACCATCCAGTAAAAAAGGAATTTGGTTATCTTTGTCATCCCTCTGGGTCCCATCTTTTTTCATGCTCTGTTTCTGAAGACAAGATTGAATTCCACATGTGGTTCTTAGTCTTCTGAAAAACATTTAGGACTTTTCCTGTCCAGAAAAAGAACATTTATCTATAAAAAACAAAAACAAAACAAACAAAATAAAAAACAGTCATGCACGTTTTTGATTTAGAACCAAGGTTCTGACATTAGTTAATTTTATTGTTTTGTTGTTGTTAATGTTGGATTCAGATTCATCAAGTTAGAGAATAGAAATGTACACTCACTGGCCACTTTATTAGGTACACCTGTCCAACTGCTCGTTAACAATTCTAATCAGCCAGTCACATGGCAGCACCTCAATGCATTTAGGCATGTAGACATGGTCAAGACGATCTGCTGCAGTTCAAACAGAGCATCAGAATGGGGAAGAAAGGTGATTTCAGTGACTTTGAACGTGGCATGGTTGTTGGTGCAAGACGGGCTGGTCTGAGTATTTCAGAAACTGCTGATCTACTGGGATTTTCACGCACTACCGTCTTGACTTCAGGACCTAATCAGTGTGAGCTTATGCTTGCAAGGAAATCTTCATTCGGGGTAAAATAATTGCAGTTCCTTATCTATGGCATAACTGAGGTACAGCAATAAAGCCAGGTGTGAATCATTACATCAATTTTTGCAGAATCAACATTCTGTTGTCAAGTCTTTTAATCCATATTTGCTCTATGTAATTTCTAATGCTGTGGAGAAAAAAACATAAAACATGTTTTAAACATCAAAGATTAAACTTTTGATTTTTATGGCTCTATGTTCTAATGAATAAATTACAGAAGCCTTGAAAGGCAAGTGAGAAGAACAAAGCAAGATTAAAATGTTTTTAAGTTTATTTTCTGTTCTGTGCTTAACGGCAAGAGAAAAAAAAATTCAGAGGCTTATTTTTCGAAGTTTGTTCTTGCCATACTTGGCTCTGCCACTAGAAACTGGAAAACCACCAGCCTTCACTAATGGCTGTATTGTTCAAATGGATAATCAAAGGACAGGTTTCAAAGAACATTTGTCCTCTTTTCTAAATGAGATTGTTGTAAAGTAAAATAAAATACAGTGTACAAAAGTACATAAAAGTGTATTTGTTAGCCATAAATTAGAAAGGGGTATGATTAATCATCAGGCAAAAATTTAAATATGAACCCTTTAATGATTTATATATGTATTTATTTATTTATGTATTTATATTTTGGTGACAACAGTTAAAAAAAACCTAATTTTGAAAGTAAACGCTACGTAATAAGACGCTGGGTGCACAGTACAGAAACATTTGTGTTAAGTTAATCTGTCATTTTACATTGCTTTTGGGTTGTGAGGGTGTGGATGGATGTCCATCTTGTGAGTCTCTTTGTTGGCATCTTAATGGACCTGTACATGTGTACCCCGCCTCTTGCTAAATCTGTGCTGGAAAACATCCAATAGCCCCGTAATAGATTGACCCCTAGGTTTGAGTCAGTGCGATACCTTAGAGATTATATGAAAATTACTATACTTTTATTGCAGTTTCCAGCTGACTTTATTAAGTTTTGGCATGTTTTCCTTCCTACAGGTACTAGATTCTAACATCACCTCTAAAAAGTAAACTGCATCAACGTGGTGACATTGTGTGGTATGGGATTATGTAATGTAAATTGTCTTATTCCATCTGCCACAGTGGTACTCTCCAGGGGTCCAGCGCTGCTCAGGTGCTGGCTGTCACTACTCTGCTGCTTGCCTGCCTAAATGTACAACCCTGTCTGAGCCTCAGGGTCACCTTCAAACCTCCACTTCCTCTGCAGCTTTCTTCCTTTTTGTTTTCACTGCCTCAGTGTTATGTCATGTTTTTACCAATAATTTATAGGTTTTTTTGGCACTAGTGGCCTTTATTTATTTATTTTTTGACAGTAGGCAGACAGGAAAGAGGGTTAGAGAGAGGGGGAGACATTCAGCAAATGTCACTGGGTCTGGGACTTGAACCCAGGACAGCCGCTTTGAGGACTGTAGCCTCTGCATATGGTCGCGCGTTTAACCCCTACACCAGCAGCGCCGCGCTGAATTTATAGTTTTTGATATAATAATATTAACAATCTTCAACAGATGTTGTCTGCACGTTTCTGTGTTAAACTAAAAAAAATGGTGTTTTGCTTCTAGCAGCTTGTCGCTTTCTATCATTTGTTCCAGAAAGCCTGGATTGATGTTGCTAAACTTTACTGTTGTCATAATGGGAAAGTCCTCATTTAAAAGTGAAAGCTGAAGTAGAAAAGGAGTAACCTTCAGACTTTACTTTTAAAACAAGTGGTTTTCTGGTTCTTATAATTCCCTGTAGATTTGCTCTTGTAAAGCTGACTAGTCTAAGAAGAAGCTATGAACCCTTGAAATATCGTAGTTTTTCTTACAGCAGTTTTTGACTACATCTGCGACATCAAATCCCAGTTTATTATGTGATGGAAATTATTTTATTAGGTGTTCCAAAGTGTATGAACTTTAGGTTAACTCTCTCTTCTGACATCTGTGTTTAGAGGAGGAAGCTGTAAAATCCATTATCAGAAGTTTAATGGTTAAAACACATCCTGGAGGGTTGTGTCTCAGGAAGAGCAGATGGTCCGCTCATAAATGACTTTGTTACCTCTGACCCGAGGAGGGTCTAGGGCCATAAAGCACAAACTCTTTTAAGTTGAGGTAACACCCACATACTGTTTAAATACTGTGTGCAAATGTTGATTGGGGCTCTGGTTCACTGACTAACCTCAGTGACAGGGTCTTCAAACGCTGAATGCCTTTGAATAAAACTTGTAAAGACAAACTCCGGTCTTTCTCTTTTCATTGAGTTAATTTCTCTCCCACTTTGATAAGAAAATCCATAACAGATTTTGGCATCACGAACAGGATCCGACGTGCCAGAGGAATCCGCAGGAGGGGATAAGGACGCCTGGCCAGCCTGGAGACTAAGTTGCCCTCAGTCCACCTCCGTTTTACGGAGAGGGTCCTCGTGCCCACCTGTGGCTTCTGGCTGATCGGATCCGAACTATTTTTCTTCAAATATATCTGGGTGAGAAGTTGCTCTGTATGATATAATGTATATTATTTTTTATTACACCTTAACCATCATCTCCTAACTAATTAATTAGGACCGGAGTTGAGAGAGGGAGGACATCAGCTGAGGGCCAGGTCACCCTGTAAGGAATACAGGGAGGTTCTTATTGGTAACAATAAGATAAAGCAAAACACAGGGTTTTGCGGGTGGTTTTTTGCAATTTTCTACACCTTATAAAGGAGAAAAGCCAGATGGCAGACGTGTCACTGAACGGGTAAAAATGGTTCCGGAATCACAGGCATTAGCGGTGGGTCCTTCTCTAGACTCTGTGATTTATAAAATAATGAAAGGAAAAGGTGGGGATGATTGTGTTAAATGTGCTTTAATTTGGGAAGATAAGTTTGGTTTTCCACAGGGTGAAAGTTTGAGTGTAAATAAATTAAATAAAAACAGTTAAAATAGTTTAAAGTAAAACAGTTGATGGATGGAGATGGGAAAAAAAGAAAAAGATTTAAAAAGCACAGAGTGCATCAATTAAGGGGTTAAAGAGTGAAAACTTTCCTGCAGGAACTTTCGTTTGTCTTAAATATTGCAATCAGTTGGAAAAGAAGGTAAAAGTGAAAAGGGACATTAGAGATGGGAAAAGAAAGTTGTTTTAGAAAGGAGTATAGTGCATGTTATGGAAGGAAGTGACAGGACAACTCACTGACTGACTGATAATATTTCTGTGTGCAAAATCTGAACCTATACTAAACTTTTTCTTCTGTCTCTCTCTCTCTCACACACACACACACACACACACACACACACACACACACACACACACACACACATACACACACACACCACACACACCACACACACACACACACACATACACATATATGGGATTTGAGTGCAACATCTGCGTTTTTGAGTCTGGACTTTAGGAACCTGTTGTTCCCATGGCTACTCCGCCAGAGACGCTTCTTCAGCATGGCCTGAAAGAGAGAGGGTCTGCTGCCTGCCTGCTGCAAATGACAGTGTGAGTTTCCACCAGAATGAAACTAAGAAGAAGTCTGACCCCAAACCCACTGAGAGGGAAAAATGATCCTGCTGTTTGCCAGAGCCCAGAAAAGAGCGATGACTGGTTTTATTTTTAAAAAGTACATCTATGCACCCCGAAGAAAAAAGGCCTGAGCAAAGTTCCCTTTTTTCCTGGAAAGTTAAAGGGAAAAAGGAAGGGATGAATTCCCACCAACACACCGGAAGGGTTTGGGTTTTTTTTTTTTTTTGGGACTGATAAGGACGTTGCCATGACTCGCATCGACAGAGCGATTAGAACTAGGGGGGAACGAAAAACACAAATTTGCATAAACTTTTCCTGTTTTCCCCTGAAAGAAAACGCTTATTAAACCGCTGCTCATTGCCTTGCTTGCGTTGAAGATATAGGGGGTTTAAAAATGTTTTTTTTTAGGGTTAGAAAAGTTTTTTCAAAAGTTTTAAAACTTAGCTCATTTGACACTTTCCCTTTTTAATTCTTTTAAGAAACAAGTTTTTTTTCATCGGGGAATATTCAGGGTAAATTTATTTTAGTTTTTTAAAAAAGGGGAAAGTTACAACATCTCCAAAACTCAGCAGTACCCATGTGTTTCTATGTTTTTCCCAGGACAATCTCAGGGAGGAACTTTTTTTAAAACCCTCGCATGGTAACACTTGGGGGCTTCTCCTTCAGGCATTATTTTCTGTTGTCAAGTTTTTTATCCCAAAAATCTAATGGGTAGAGACCTCATCAAACAGGCTTAGTTTTACGGGCAGATGGTCCTCATACATTCTCTGCACAATCTTAAGGGGGGTGCAGTTTTGTCCGCAAGTCTACTTACGCTTATGGAAGTACAAATTAATGTTTTTCACGCACTGCGGGAAAGAGGTTATATTAGTTTTTTTTTACCTCTTCTGATTCATGCAGCGTGTTGTTTCACTTACCTTATATCAGGCCCTGACAAAAACTATAAAAGGCTTGGTTCGCAGTTTTTTCCCCTCGGGGGAAAAAAAAGAGAAACCAAATCATTCTGTGCGCCAGAAATATTCAACACTTATTTTCTGAGATATGACCGCAAAAATTTTTAAAAACCTTTGGCAAACTGATTTTTTTTTAAAACATTTTCCTTGGCAAAAAAAACCTTTTAAAAATGAAAATTTGGAAAAAAATTGGGGTTTTTTTGAAGGTAGAAAGAATCTGATTGGACGGGGTGGGGTTTTAACAGTTTTCAGTTTAAGGTACACTAAGATTGGTTGGAATAAAAAAACTGTGGGTCCCCCTAGGCTGCCCATCAGAGGTTAGTTCTGCCTGACTCGCCCACCTACCAGTTGGTTTTTTATGCCTTTGCTTTCATGGGGGAATCTCAGCACCTCCCTTCCTGAGTTTTAACCAATAGAAAAAAAGGGTCTTTTGTGTTTTTAACATGTTTTTGCATAATAATTAAGGATGTGCATGACATTTAGATTTATTTTTTATTTTAAAAAGGAAAAAAGTTTTAAAAATAATTTTGAAAAATGTTTTTTCTGCAAATCATTGGTGATTTTTTGATTGAAAGTTTTCCCTGGTGCCATTAAGCTAGCTGACAGTTCAAGAGATCCAAAAATAAAAAAATAATTTTTGATAAGAATCTGAGTCATGACTTCATATTTTGGGGGGGAATTTTTTTTAGATTAAATTTGTAGAGTGTATGCATCAAAAATTTCATTTGATGGCCCCTTATCTATACTTTCAGTACGACCAAAAGGTTTTACCACCTTCTCATTCAAAAGTTGTCCCTTTTTTCCGATAGAATATTGTAGCTTCAACTGAACGCATCAAAACTAGAAATTAACACAAGTGGAATTTACTGAACCAAAAAGTGGAAAAAACTGAAAATATGTCTTTATTCTAGGTTCTTCAAAAAAGCCACCTTTTCCTTTGATTTTCTGCTATCACACTCTTGGGATTTTGTTTAGAGCTTCAAGAGGTTCACCCCGAAAAAGGTTTTTTCCACGTCTTGAAGGAGTTCTCAGGTGCTTAGCATTGTTGGGCCCCTTTTGCCTTCATCGGGGGTCCAGCTCACCCCAAACCATCTCGATTGGGTTCAGGTCCAGTGACTGTGGAGGCAGGTCATCTGGCCAGCACCCCATCACTCCCCTTTGGTCAAATGCCCTTACACACCCTGGAGGTGTGTTTGGGGTCTTGTCCTGTTAAAAAAAAAAATGAGGGCCCCCAACTAAACGCACACCGGATGAATACATCCGCTGAAAGATGCTGTGGTAGCCATGCTGGTTCGCATCCTTAATTTTTTTAAAAAACCCCCAAAACAGTGTCCCCAGAAAAAGCACCCCCACACCATCACCCTCCTCCTCCGCTTCACAGGGGGAACCAGGCATGTAGAGTCCTCCTTTCAACCTCTTCTCCCCGCCGAAAAAGACACGGTGGTTAAACCCAAAGATCTCAACTTGGACTCATAAACCCAAAGCACAGATTTCCACTGGTCTAATGTTCTTTCCTTTTTGGTTTTTGCCCAAACAAGTCTCTTCTGCTTGTTGCCCTGTCCTACAGTATTTTCCTAGCACCCCTTTTACCATAAAGGCCTGTTTCCAAAACGTCCCTCTTAATAGTTGTTCTGAATGTGTCTGCTGCTAATCTCTATGGGCTTGCCTTTTTCCTAATCTGAGCTGCTTTTATCCTGCGATTTCTAGGCTGGTGACTTGGATAAAATTATCGTCCCCACAGGGGTGACTCTTGTTTTCCCTTTTTCCTGGGGCGGTCCTCATAGACCCGGGTTTTCTTTGTAACGCTTGATGATTTTTGCGACTCCATTTGGGGTACTTTCAATGTTTTCACAATTGTTCGGACTGACTGACTTCATTTCTTAAGTAATGATGGCCACTCGTTTTTCTTTAATTAGCGCTTTTTTTCTTGCCAAATAAAAATTCAAAAGTCTTTCAGAGGACTATCAGCTGTGTACTGTATCCCCCTCCGCACAACACACTGATGGTCCCAAC